AGACAACCCCGTAACAATATGCGTTTTGTACTGCTGTTACACAGCACAAAACGCATAAAAATTTGAAAACTGCTTAGGAGTGTGTATGCAGTTAATAAGTAAACAAACAGACAAGTAAACAGTGTAAAGAGGTAAACAAACAGCGTTGCAGTGTCTGCAGGGTCTGCACAGCTGAAAAAGAAGGCTATAAATTAACAGTTGTCCCTGGCATTCCTAGAAATCAATATTTTTACCTAATTTAAAATAATATGCCATGGTGCCGTCTTGTCGAGCGTAGAACCGTTCATCCAATTTGCATCCGCGACCAAATCGTACCATTGCGTGGTCGTTTATACCATAATCACGTACAATTACAATTCCGCCAGTTTCTACCACACTCAGCACATTCTTCACGGCAATTTGCTGTTTTTCTGGTGGAATCGCGCTCAGCACAAAAATCAACGTTGCTACGTGGGCCAACGGGAAATGCAACGTGAAATTGGCGTCTGTGAGGTCAGCATGTGCAGCGCTAACTGGCAAATTGCTTGCTAGACTACGTTCATGGAGAAGACGGATGGCGTTTTGGGAGAAGTCGAATGCATAGCAATTCCAGTGCGGATACTGCTGTTTCAGTGGGAAAATCGCATTTCCAACACCGCAACCGATTTCCAAATAATTCAAGCTATCCTGGAAAAAGATTTCGGCATGATTTTACCACCTACGATTTTTTCAATCCAATTTTAAACATGAAGTGATAGCTCGAGATATTGAAGAAGCAAAGTTTTATCCCGCGATTACATATGGTCCTAAAACATGCTCCTAAAATTTCAGCTTCCTAGCTTTCGTAATTTCGAATAATAATTTGCGGCCGTTATCCAATTCTAAACATAAAGGCGATAGCTCAGTATATGCTAGAAGTGAAATTTCATCTTGCGATTGTTAGTTTCTTGTATCAATTTCAGCTTCCTAGCTTTCGTAGTTCTGAATAATAATTTGCGGTTGTTAGAAGGCCGAATCATAATCTTAAAAACAAGTGGACAGTCCAAAATAAGCAAAATGTGAAGCGGCCGGTGTCCGAAAATTTAAGCCTAAGGTGGGGTTAGTATACTAAGGCTGAGGTTGAATTACTATGTTTAATGCATGCGCAAGAAAAACACGGACTTTATCTTTTCTCCCTGATTATGTAACATATCCAAAAAAAATCCTTGACCTCTAAAGTGACGTGTTGGCGGAGTAGCTTTGCAAATTCGTGCTCCGTCCACCATCGGTCTTTGAAGAAATTATTCTTGTTTCGCAAATAAAATTTGTCCCAGTTCTTGCGCATATCTTCGGTTATTTTGCGTCGTTTGAACTCACTTGCTGGTTCCTGCCTCTTCAGTCGTTCTGCCTCTTCTTCACTGAGCTCTCGAGGATCAGATGCTGTTGAAAATTTAAGTTCCATATTATCCGAGCATAAGATGGATCCAGAAACGTCAACGTCAGCCATGGCAGCATTGGTTGTTGCTGGCAATTTGCCACTACTCGGGCTATTTCTGAGAGTCTCTGTCACTCCCAGAGAGAGAATATAAGCAAGGGGCTTGATCCCTGATTTGTCTGAAATGAGTTTTAATGTTTCCTCAACTTATCCTGTTTCGAAGTTTTAGATATGGAATTCACAAGCTACTAATCTTCCTGTACAAAAGTAATGAGAGTTACAATTTATTGCCTCTGAACTGTTTGTGCTTTAGTGCCATAAATCATATACGTATCATCCCGGTGCGGCAGTTGGATTCATTCATTTTAATATGCGAGGTCAAAATTCAACAAACTCCATCCCTTCTCTCACCCTCTTCCTTCTTTATCAAAATGTCTGAACCTAGCCCCGCCTAGTAGCAGTAACGCGCAGAATCCCTCAAAGCTCAAAATCGCAAAATAACTGGAAGCATGTGAAAATCTTGTAGCTGTTCTGGCATTTATTAGGAGAATATGTTAAATTGCCGAAAAAAAGCAGAGCAAACTTCTATATGCGTCTGACCAGACACAATTGTGTGACGGAGATTTATGAAGCAATGGCCTGTGATGAAGTTTGAAAGATAGCTGGACGCTAGATCCAGAACTGAACATGCAGAAAGTCGAGGACTGTCTACATTCCATCCAGGCACCACAACTTCTAGATCAGCAAATTATTTCGGGGACTACATCCATTTCCTCAGTTCCATCCTTCTCCAAGAGGAGGAAAATTAATCAGCTTGTTATCTGTTTCCTGTTTCTCTGTACCTCATAAAACGGGCCGGAAAAAATACACTTAAAAGTATACCTTAAAAAAACACCTTAAAAGCCTTAGAAAATACTCCTTAAAACATCAAAAAGTACTCCTTAAATACATTTAAAAATACACTTTTTATGACACTACGACCCGAACCGTGCACAGAAGATCCCGCTCTTGGACATTACTTATAGACAGTGGTTGTCACAACTTTCCAGATTCGCAGAGACAAGAGATGATTTGTGGAATTCTGCACCAAACGTCTGTTAGCAAAGTAAACGCAAAATTTTAAAATATATTTCTTCCAAAATACATACGAACAATGCAAAAACCGGATGAAATGCAACAGTGCAAGAGGGAAGAAGCAAATTCAGAAGGAACCAATTTGCTTCAGAATACAATTTAAAGCTTTTTCTTGTAAAATTCCAAAATTTACGAACATTTTTCATCAAAATGTTTGCAACTGCTAAATCGGTAGAGAAAACCGTTCAACTGGTAATCTCTTCAGAACAGAAAATGACAAAAAGTTCGTCAATAGGCTTCACAATGCAACACCAGTTAAATGACTGCAATAAGCTTAGCTCAAAGCGATCCAGCAATGCTTAAGCAAAATATAAATAAAAAATGATGCACACCAACAGTTGCGATCATGCATTTTTGCGCAGTTTTTCGCAGCATTAAAATCGTTACCAGTGAAAAAACGTTCACTCTTTCGCAGTTTGATATGTGCACTCACGTTGAAAAGATTCTTGCTGGTTTTTTTTTTTTTCCAAGTTCAACGGAGACAGCAAAAGTATGAGGAAGCTCATTTTACGCTGTCAGGGCAGCAGATGTACTACATAAATCTTAATAAAAGCACTACTACCTACTTACAGTTTCCTACTCAATCTGATCCTTAAATTAGCAGAGTACCAACAATATCCATCCTAAACTTCCATTTGTGCATTCGTGAGACGAAGGTATGTCTCCATAGTCAATTCCCGAGAAATTTTAGCTTCCTAGCTTCTTCTGAATTACTTTCCACCAAAAATATTTATCCATGTGCAATATCTAGGCAAACATGAAAGCTGAATTTAAGCCTTTTAGGTCGCCTACGGATAGGAGACATTCCTGTATAACTTAGCTTACTAGCTTGATTGGTTCCCGAAATCGTTTTTCGCCAAAAATGACCCGAAATGCGGGCACACAAAAAGTATGGAGACGCGAACGCCCATTCCGAGTCCGGGAACCCATCCGCAGTGATCGGTCAGGTCTTCAAAATTTCAGCTTCATATTCCTCGTAGATCTGAAGGTTGAAATACGCGGATACAAACACACGCAACATACTCACACAACCTCTCGGCAGTATGCGTTTTTGCACTTCACGATCGATATAAAAATGCATTAAAAATTACCAGATGTATAATCGGACAGCCGGAATTATGAAAAACACCTGTCTAAGTGTACCATGTTTCATTAAAATTGCATGAAAAATACGCTAAGTGTAACTCCCACTTAAGAACAAAGTTCCTTCCCTTTCTCATATATATTAATGTGTAAAAGACGGGATTTACTTTCAGTAGGGAGTAGGGGTCGCTGAAAGCTATTCGCCGGCTATTTGAAATGATATGTGCCAAATGTCAAAAAAAGCATCGTAAAAAGGGCTGTTTGTTTCTGCTTGGCGAGAAGAACCTAGATTTTAAGCATAAAAGAAGGCGCTAATTGCCTGTGCAACAAACCCGTCTATGCTTATAAATAAAAAGAAATTTTCCCTTTCCATGCCTCTTTTCTTCCTTTTTTGCCCCTACTTCCAAAAAAAAAAAGAGAAAAACATTAAAATACACGCAAATATAACGTAAAGAATACAAATTCAGAAAGAGTTATAACACTACTAAATGACACGATAAACCTTTTCACTGTGGGAATCTGAGGCAAATTCGTTCTAAACTCGAACAGTTAAACTTTAAAACTAAATAAGTTAGAAGTCTCCTAAGCTACCGCTCATTGGAATGTATTGATTTTTTCATCAAAATCAAATGGCAGCAAATATATTCACATCTTCAGCACTAATACAACATCTAATTCGTCCCATTACATCTACTTCTCCAACACTGCTATATTACCTCAACCGTTTTGTCCCTCATCCCTCCTTTCCTTATTTCCTCTACCTTTAATATACTTCTATAATCTTCTGTACAATCAACAATTACATTCAGTTACTCTAATCATTATCTTATCGATGCTACTGCTATTACCTCTTATCACTCAATTCTCATTAACATTTTCCATCAAATTAATTTTTTACTTAATTTTAACTGAATTTAATTTTTAACGCAAATTAATGTAAAAATACAAAATCATCCTTAAAAAAAATCATCTTAAAAATCACCTTAAAAACAAATCAACATTACAGGAAGTAGTTAATGTTTCAGAAATGATTTAAGTCATCATCCGCATCGGTCAAACGGCCAAAGAATTCAGTTACTTTTAATACCCAATGTACTCTCAAGTTCAGCGCGTTTTTGCAGCACTTTCTGATAGATATAGCGAAAAATGCCTTCCAAAATTTGCGGCTGATGGAAATATTCCGCACGACGTTCCACTTCATTGTCACCGACCACTTCTGTCATTGTCTGAAAATTTTCCAGTAATGATAAAAAAAGAAAGCGCAAACGTTGAGAAAAAAATGATTAGGGCATTTCTAGACGACTGAAGTTTTGCCAAAAGCTTCTGTTAAACCGTTGAGGTGCTCCCACCCCTCCCCGTCTCCCTCAGGCGACGAAACGAACTCTAGAACTGCTAACAGATTTTTCATCAAGCAATGCAGCACTGGTCAAAGCAACTGGACAACTTGCAGGCTGTACTAGTGAAGAAATAGCAATGCCCTGAAGTTGATCAAAGTATGCAGTTCACACAAGTTATCAACATAGATCACGTTTTGGAGCATCTGCGTAAAAATTCAATGACTTCAAGCAAAACAATCGAATTTTTTTTTTTTGAAAATTTTATACCATTATCGATTTGAATCTAATCCTCTTTGGCTAAATTCTAAACTTTCTACAGGCTCGTTATTTAACATCCATCACTTTCTTCCCCCTCCTCCCC